ATGGGCAATGGACCACCTTACTTTCCACGTGGCCGGAACCTTTTAGACAACATGATGTCATTGATTTTGCTCATCACCTTCTTCAACAGCTGAACCCCAACTTTCTCAGTTGTTGTTGGGAATCCCGGCTGGAACAGGATGGGGAAATCTGTGTGGTGGATCAAAGTGCCCTGGGGTGCCCTTTGCACCTATACATCTGCAGTGAGCAAAAGAATGGACTGCTGCCCACCGATCTGCAAGGTTTGATCTCCAACTGGAGCCTGGCATCTTTCGGTCTCCATGGGTTGACAGAACCTGCAGACGTCACATGCCTTCACATCGATCGCTTCGACTCGAGGGGCAAGAAAAATCGAACCAGACTCAGCTGGGATTCTAAGGTGTGGATGCCCTTCCTCTACAACAACAAGCTTGGCATCGACCACATTCCATTTGTGGTCACGGCAGTATCCTATCATCTGGGATCGGAGCCCACCTGTGGACACTATTGCACGGCGGTCCTGGCGGGTGGCTTGTGGGTCTTCGACGACGGCTCCGTGCCGGAGAAGTTCGACCGAATCCCAACTGTGATTCAGGAGAACTGCTGTCTTCTATGGCTCAACTGCACGCCGCATGGGGGCGCAGAACCAGTCTCAAATCTGACGGAGGAATCTCCAATTCTCTCTGAGGAGGAGAAGCTTGCGCACATCACTCATGACCCCTCCATCAATGGTGACTGGCACCACAAATGGCTTCAGGCTATTGACAGGCTTGATGCTGACATCCTGGTGGCCCACCCGGGACTATGCCATCGGCTGGTGAAGAAGTGCATCATCTGCCAAAGTTTGCCTCGTGACATGAATGCGCACCTTGAAGTGGCACATCGAGAACTTTGGGAAGCATCCCAACCGATTGCAGAGAAGTGTGGAGCAGCCTTCAGCGCGAAAGCTCATCCTACTCGGTGGTGCGCTTGCCAGCCCTACTACACCACTGAGCTGACTGAGGACCATCCGTGTCCCTGCCTTCGCCAATTTGGCATTTTGCACCTAGCTCTACGCCGGAGTCAACCAGCCCAAGCCAGAACAAATCTGGCTCGCTTGCTTGACATGACCTTCAGCTGAAAGCTGGAGCTGGTTGTCCCTACGGGGACCAGGCGGATCAAAAGGATCCACGCCATCATCACTCGATGAGCGTATGGAAAGAAAGATGATGATGATGATGATGATGATGATGATGATGATGATGATGATGA